AAATCCCTGTAAATGTTCATTAAAACTAATAAAATTTAATAATAAAAAAAAGAAAAAAAAAGACCGAGAATATAGTATCACCATCATAGTAACATGAAAACCACTAAATTACAACAAAGTGACAGATGAGTGGCAGAATTATGTCTTTAGAATTCCCAAGAGGTTCAGGAATGCCACTACTTCTGGAAGTAGGCTTAGAAATACTGGCTAAAAATCTACCTACGGAGGCATCAGAACCCAGAGTTTCTCCTCAATTTCAGGTATTCTTCCCCATCCTGAAAGATTAAAATAGCCTCAGTGGCAAGAAGCTGTGCTGCAATCCCAAAGGCACATGGTTCAAGGCCACCAGCTGCTCTTCAGAAGAAGGATAGACAATCTCCTTCTGTGCAATTAACTGCCTCTGAAAACCCACCAGAGGGTCAGCTATGGGTTGTTTCCAACTTGACAGTTCACAAAAACAACAAATCTCTAAATAGGGACACCAGACAACTGTGCTATTCTGAACATAGGAGAATTAGTTGAATCTATATTATATTTATATAGAATATGAACAATCTTAAAGGAAAGATAAAACATTAACAATGAATCAAGAACAGACTTTAAAAATCAGAGCAGAAATGAAAACAAAAAATACCAAAACACTCAGCCCTTGATGGTATGCAATGTTAACATGTCAGCAAATTAAATCAGCATCAGTTTGATTTCAGTTCAGCTGTCCTCTGTCCTTCATCAATATTAACACTTAGAGAACAAACAGGTTCATCCTGGAGAGGGTTAAACCAGGCTGTTCCTTGGAGGCAAGGATTCTGAAGCTTCATCTGACATACTCTGGACATGTTGCAAGGAGAGACCAGTCCTTGGAGAAGGACATCATGCTTGGAAGGGTGGAACAGTGCAAGAGAGGAAGACCCTCGATGAGATGGATTGATTCAGTGACTAGGGGAATGGGAGTAGGTGTGTCAGAGACAGTAAGATCAGCACAGGATAGAGCAGGCTTTAGGGCTGTTATACACAGGGTCGCTACGAGGAGGAGGTAACTTGATGGCATGTAACAACAAGAAGAAGGGTAATTACTAGGTGCCACTGAGTCAAGTATGACTCATGATGACTTTATGAACAACAGATCTGAACCCTGTCCTATCCTGTGCCATCTTCACAATGTAGTATATTCAAGCTCATTGCTGCAATCACTGTGTCAATCCATCTGGTTGAAGGTCTTCCTCTCTTTCATCATCCCTACACCTCTCCAAGCACCATGTCATTCTCCAAGGAACTGCCTCTCTTAACAACACTCCCAAAGTATGTGAGACAAAGTTTCTTCACTTTTGCACCCAAAAAGCACTGTGGCTGTACCTTCTCCAAGACATATGTTTTGTTCTTATGACAGCCCATGGGAAATAGAGTACTCTAACACCAGAGTTCAAAGGCATCAATTCTTCTGTCACTATTATTCACTGCCCAACCCTCAGATGCATAGAAAGTGACTGAAAAGATCTGACCTGAATCAGGTGTATCTTAGTTCTTGAACTGATATCACTGCTTCTCAATAATTTTGAGAGCTCCCTGACTTGCCCAGTACAATACCTCTCCTAATTTCCTGACTGCTGGTACTAAGGGTGTTGATTGTGGATCCAAGTAAGATCTCTTCTCCATCTATTTTGATACCAGCTCTAAGTCCAGTGGTGAAAATTTTTGTTTTCTGGACATGGAGATGCAATCTTATTGAAAGTTATATTCTTTGATCTTCTGAAGCAAGCCTTTCAAATCCTCCTCATTTTCAGCAAGTAAGATTGTGTCATCTGCATAATACAGGTTGTTGATGAGGCTTCCTTCGATCCTGAAGCCACTTTCTCCTTCATGGAGTCCACCTTCTCAAATAATTTGCTCAGCATACAGATTGAGTCAGTATGGCAAAAGACTAAACCCTGATGCACACCTTTAATAAATTACTAAAATTTACTTTATTTGGTTTATCCTAATAAGCAAATTCCATGAGAAAAGAATAGTTAAGGTAAAAGGAAAATATGACTATAATTTATAGTAAGTGTATCCACACTTTTAGTAAGGAAAAAAAACACCATTCTTGTTTAAAAAAAATTATAAAGGAAAGCAACTTACCTTTTTGCACTCATCTGTTCTTTTAGCTTACTGTACATTTCCAGCACTGCATTTAAAAAAATATTTAATATATTTTAGTTCTCAAAAATGAAAATATTTTAGAAATAACAATAAAACCTGGCAAAGTATATTAAAAGCTAATTCTGAGTATAAGCTCAGTATTATATAACATAAATAAAATGCGATACTTCAAGTAAATGAAATTATTTTACTTTCCCGTATATCAAACCTTACCACAGAGCCAGAACACTTGCATATTGTTACAGCCATGAACCACAATCAATATGACAGCAACTGTTATAACTAAGACATTAACCACCAAGAATCCTATATTCAGAAACCCACTAGCACCTCTTCCCTTTTAGCAGAAGTTAGTAAAATTGTACTTCAGTTGGTTTAGAGAGAAAGCTAAGTGACAGTGTGATTTAAAGATTTTGATTCAATACACCAAATAATGCCATAAGCAAAATGTTATACCAAGTCCACAAGCAAAGAAAAACTTCAAAAGCTTACAGTAGAATAACTGTATACCAAGGTTCATTGTAACATTATTCATGATAGTAAAAAAGTGTAAATATCCCAAATGCAGTACATCCATATATTGTTGTGGGCTGCTGAATGAGAAATTTACTTATAGCTGACCCTCCAGTGGGATTTAGAGGCAGTAAATCACTCGGGAGGAGACCACCCATCTTTCTCCTGCACAGCAGCTGGTGGATTTAGACCATTTGCCTTTGGGACTGCAGCTGACCTTCTTACTACTAGGCCACCAGAACTCCCTGACATGTAATGGAATAACAGTGGGATATTATTTTGCCATAAAGAGAAATTATGTTCTAATTATATATTGCAAGATGAAATAAGTCAGTTACATAGGACAAATACTATATAATTCCATGTATATAAAACAGGCAAATATATACATATCAAAGGTCATTAGTAGTTACCAGGAGTGGGAGGGAGTAAGAAAGAGGAAGCCTTAAAAATATTTTGTTGAATGAATGAATAAGTGGGACCCAAAAGAACAAATACTGTACATTCCCACATATATGAAATATAGACTAATAGGTAAATTCACAAAGACAAAAGTTTATTAGTGTTATCAGGGGATATCATGCTTGGTGAAGCAGAGGTTCAGAGAAAAACGAGGAAGACTCTAAATGAGATGCACACTGTGGCTGAACAGTGCACTCTAGTATGACCATGATTATGAGAATGATATGGAGACGAGGCAATGAATCATTTTAAGGTCACTATAAGTTGGGATTGACTCAATGGCCCCAGTAAATAATTAGGGGTTGAAGGGTGAAGAGGATGGGAAATTAGTGCTTACGGAATGCTCAGTTCTGTTTGAGGTGTTGAAAATGGATAGTGATAACAGTAGCTTATAGTACAGAATCAATTACGTCAAAAGGCATCAAAAGGAACTAAACCTGTTGGAGGATCTAATTTATAAGTTTTACCCTTTTATCAAAGGCCTAGAAATAAAAGTATTCGATAAAATTGTTATTGGGCTTCAGAAAAATAACATAATTGTTTTAACCACAAAAAAATAGCATTAATCCTTAAAAGAATTAAATAATAAAAGTGAGTAGTAAATTATTAATGGGTTATCAACTAACATTTTCCCAGGCCACAGAGATCAACAAGAATTTTTTCCCAGGCTTTATTTAGTTGCATGTGCTACTCCTCAAGTCACTCCAAGTTTACAAAAGACACAGTTTACTCATCCAAAAATGATAAAAATTTCAACCTGCCCCAATTTTCTGGCCTCACAGGACCCTACACCTACCTCTACTATATCCCCTATATTGCAATACAGTATTTCTCATGTTTTCAGCCAAAGCATTAGAGTGAACACATAGCCTGGGACAGGGACTAAAACAGCTGCTCTAAGTATAAACTATCTTTGAAGTCTCCTGTTTTAGTTCAACAATACATGTACATTTCACATCTATCTCATATTATTTTTCTACAAAATAAAGCTTCTCTCAAAAACAATCAAGTAAAAAGAATACACTAGAGAGTGCACCATGTTTATGAGGTGTTATATATTCAAATTGCCAGAAAAGTACTTCCTTTAGGTTAACAGTACAACTATCTACACCACCAGAGCTCCCCTGAGGGAGTTGTGAGATACGAATGCACAATCCCACATATATTAACTAGGCAAATACATACAATTTATGTGTGTGTATTTTTATATCACCTCTAACCCAAAGCATAATTAAGCAATTACATTATAGTTAATGGCATGAGCTGGGTGTGTGCTTATTTCAATTTTATATTTCTAATCCCAACCATAGAGCCTGACGTATTTTAGAATAGACAGAGTGGCAAAAAGATAGAAGAAAAGAGGTAATTATAAATGCAGCTATTAGGAATACAATGTTCGTATGACCCCAGAGTTGCTGCTCAGCCTTGAAACAAGCAGCAGTAACAAAAGAAAAAGTCTTCTTTTTAGCTGTATTTCAAATAGCCCACCAGGGGAATACACTGAATTCAATCTTTTTTTCATTCCCTCACTACCTAAGTTTTCAGGCTTATTACACAGGGACAAAGCTTTCAAACTTAGAGGTTGTCTTCACGGTTTGTACAATGTTTCTGATTAAACACTATTCTTAACAGGTATCTTAATACTGAAACTCAATATGATATGCTAATATTCTATTAACTTTAAGCTAATATGCAAATACCTTAGGTTAATCAGATACTGAGTATAATCTCAGTGATTGTGTAATAAAGGAATGCTAGTCTCAAAAGTAAAAAACAGTAATAGTTTCTTTATTTGCTAATAAAAGGAAATAAAATTGCTGATAGTTTTAACATATAATACGCATGCTGTACTAAACTTACTTTATAAAAATATTATACAAAAATATCTCATTCTATTCCCCTAGATATGGGGGTTTAACTCCCTTCCTAAAAAGAAAAGGAAGGGGGAACGTGGGACACCGTGGAGGGTTTAGTTACTATATTAATAAAAATGACATATACCTGGCTCCTTGTGTCTGAACAGGATGCATCCAACTTAAAGTACATTAAATCCAGGTAAAGAAAATACTGGTTAGTTTCTTCAGGATTTATTTGATGTCCCAGAATATCTGAGCCCTAACAGAGAGACCAGAAACTCAGAAGTCTTAAAAGCCAGTCTTTCCAAATACAGGAGGAAAGGCAAAGAGGGAAAGGAAGACAAACAGGTACTTTGGATGTTTTCTTACCTTATCAACAAAATGAAATTATGAGGAAAGTAAAATAACGCCTAAGTCACAATGACACTAGAAGTACAAAATTGGACAAAGGAAACAATGTAATAAAAAGACATTCATCCCCATGGGCAAGCATTCTGAGAGGGGTTGTGGGGGTTGGGGGCAGTGGAGAGCAGGGACAAAGAGCCAAGTACGCAGAGATGAATGGACAAATAAAAAGGTAGAAGTTGTTCTGAGACTGATGTAATAAGATAATTAAGCAAAGAATTGATAATACAGAAAAACTATGAAAATCCAGGGCAGCAAGTGGTTGAGAGGTCATATAATCTGTAATTTCCCCAAAAAAGAATGACAATATGCCATCACTAAATTATACTTTTATCAAGTCAAGCATTATATTATAGATAAGTTTAACTCACCGGGAAGGCATAATTGCAATTTTTCTACCACCATTGTAATATTCCTCTGCTGAATTCTACAGCGAATAATATCTTCTGTTTGGATAATCACCTTAGAAAAAAGAAATGTTTCTCTTTTTAAGTGAACGGTTTGAAAGCATATATATTGGCTGTCCACAAAAAAAAAAAATTTTATTTTCTCACCTCTTTTCCAGCATCTTGAAACCTTCGGTTGGTATCAGTAACTTGCACCTTTAAAATAATTTCACCTTAGTTAGACAAATATGCATAAACTGCCCTGATGTAACTGCTCACCCTTGTAATCAGATCATGCTTCATGAGAAACTTAGAACAAAGAAATGCAAATTCAAATTAACTCTACAGCTTGAACTTGAACTTTTGATTGAAAAGGGCTTTTGTTAACTTCAATTACTTATGACAGTTCTTTTTAACAGATTCTGTGGCAAACTTCTCAAATTTACTCAGGATTTTTGAACTTTACTTGCTTCTCTAAGTCTGTCAAACAATTCAAATCACTGACCCAATTGACCACTGGTCCCTTTTTGATAACTTCAATGAGGTCTATGTGCCATTCATTGTCTGTAGGAAATGGTGATTGCATTTTATGGTAATTAAACATTCATACTTTGCTGAATGCAAACACTGGGTGGTTGATTAACATCAAACACGGAAATCTCCAATCCACAGCAACATTTTAATGCTGCAGGTGCAGGCAAAGCTCAACCTCGAATTTTCCCACATATTAAGTGACTCATTAGGTCATCATAGTAAGGAAGCACATTCTGGTTTATTAAAAATCTCATTAATTTCTGAACAAAGATGCTCAGTGACCTCATTGATGCTGTATTTGGTCCCTTGTTATCTGAATATCCTTTATATAATGGTTTTCAAATCATAACCTTAGGTGGACCAGAGCCATTCTTGCCTGCTAAGCTCTCCAAATGTAAAGAAAGATAAATAGGGCAATTCTGATAATTAAATATTTTCCTTTAGGTAGTACAAATCCAGGTCTCATGTAATAAATATTATTTCGAATGTGGTGCAGAAAATGTAACCAATTTTACTTAAGAAAATTACTGACTGCTGCAAAACTCTAAAGACAGTTTCAGTATATTGAGAACATGATAATTTAAAATACGGTTCTAAATATGTTTCGAGCATAAACTTTTATCAATATAGCACTATCCATACAAAAATTCCAAAACTGCAAAATTGGTCGTTCATTATATGCATTTTTTTAAAAAATAATTTCCCTAAATAGAAAGAAATTCTGTTTAGTGAATAAATTATATGCTTTAGGAAAGAGGAGATTATTACTGTCATTAGCATGACAAGGGCTAATAGAGCATAAAAGGCATCATCAAATACATACACATTTCTTCAAAGTAGCACACAAAATAATGTGTATATATATTTGTGCATATGCTGTATAAACTATTACTTAAGTCATGTAATGGGAATGAAAGTAAATGGAATTTCTTACCTTCAGTTTTTCTGCATCAGTCCTTACTTTAAGGAGCTCTGTAATTGCATCTACAAAACCTTGATGATGAAAGTTACACATTTTCTCAATTTCCTTGTCATGATTACGGATGCAAGCATCCAACTTTTCCATAAACTTCTTATGTGCATTTGGTTGATCATCATACACAGATCTGCATGTATATAAGAAAAAAGCTAAAATTAACTTCTGTAAGAAGGCATAATCATGAGTTCAACAGCTTTATTGAGTTCTATGAGTTCTTTTTATGAATTTGGTTTTGGAGACCTTCCAAACTGCACACCTCCAAATATTCCCTAACCCTTGAGGCTAAACATGTTTTATTTCTCTAGACGAGATATTTGCCAATCATTTTTATAACAAGTGAATTTTTACATGGAAAAAATAGATACAAACTCATAGCCACTTACAGTAATTCAATATATAATCATATAGAATCAATCTGTAGAATGATTTAAATTTTTCATGTGTATACCTTTTTAATAAGTTTCTGCTGTAAAAGCAGACAGATCAATACAGGATAGCAATTATTAATTGTTTAATTCTGTAAGAGCTAAACTAGAACTGGGATCTGTTCTTCTACCTATTCTCTTAATCACAACCATACTTACTGCTTTAAGTTCTATAACTATACTTATGTCTGCTAAATTTATATTTTTTGCTCTAGCCCCTTTCACCTGAACTTCAAGGTTATGTATATGTCTAATGGATGTCTACTGAGTCCAAATATGTGCAAAAATTAACTACTGATCTAAATATGTAAAAAAATTAATTACTGGTCTTCTTTCCCCAATATGTTCCTTCCATACACTGCCCCATCCAATCTTCCTATTGTTCAATCAAAACAAAAACTGTGACTATTTAATGATCCCCATTAAAAAAACAAGGGCTAGATCCCATGTCTCTCCTCTGCTGAAAATCCAATTTCTCTTATAGCCCAAGTTAAAGCCCTACATAATCATGTCCCTCACGGACCTCATCTCTTACTCCTCTCCACCTAATGACTCCATGCCAGCTGGCGTTCTCAAGGCTCCTTAAACACATGAGGCAAATTTTTGTTTTCTCCACCCTCTCCTGGGTCACTTTTCTCACATGTGTCTGCTGCCCTGACATCTTTTAGGTGTTTTGTTCTTTTCCTGGGGAAACCCTCCCTGGCTATTGTATCTCTATTTCTGTCTCTCTCTTTTGCTATCTGTCCCTCTTACTCTTCTCCTCCTGGCTTTATTTTTCCTTTTTATTTTCTAGAAATAAATTTATTTATCACCAGATAACTCAATATACTCATCCTTAACTTATTATCTATCTTCCCCTACAGAATGTAAGTTGCACATGGGCAGAGTTCCTCAGTTTTCTTCGTCCCTGTTGTATTCTAGACACAGGTTGTCATATAACACATTCTCAATAATTACATGAAGAGTAAATGGAAAGATGGATGAAATGTGAAAGAACATCAGCTAGTTATTCAAGTTCAGTTAAGCTGCAAGCTACTTGACTTTTCTAAATTTCCATTTCCTCAACCTCAAAATGAGAGGAAAAGATATTTTCTACATCAGAGTATTATGGTGAATAAATTAGTGAACATCTGAAAAATTCTAAGCACAAAATACATTACTTTAAAAAACATAATACTTGGTTATAATTATAATTTTAAGTATATACTAGCTACCAGTTTGATGTGCACATAAAAACACCCAAAATCATAAACACTCCAGTATAAAAATCCAAATATGTTTCTATCAAGTTGATTCCAACTCATTAATGACAATATAGGACAGAGGAGCCCAATAGGGTTTCCAAGACTGTAAATCTTTATAGAAGTAGAATGTCTCATATTTCTCCTCAGTTCAAATCATTACTCTTTTGACTTGGAGATAAACATAATCTGAACCCTAACCATTTTTCACCTACAATACATTAGAGTTAACACAGAAATAATGAAGATCAAGGTAGAAAAGTTCTAAATTCCAGGAAATAATTACATCTAAAAAAAGTACTACAGACTCAACAAGTGTCAGACTCCCAAAGTCCTCAAATGACAAGATGTTATCTTTAGAAAAAAACTCTTAAATTCTTCTGACTCTCACATTTTAGTAAACATAGCTCTTAAAACAGAATTAATTATTACATGTTGGTTTAGTCCTTCATCCTTTCTGATGAAATGTAAGGCTAACAATAACCAGGCTACAATACATATGAATGATAAAAAATATTAATTAAAAATAATAACTAGGCTAGAAATCTGCTTTTAAGGACAGCGATCAACAGTTTAAATAGAGAAAAGCATAAAAGGAAACATGTATGAAGACCCGAAAGGATCAGAAAGCAAAATAATTCTTATTCCAAAAATGTGTTGACACGATATAGACTGCAAACATCACCAATCCTCTCTCTGTGAAGGGATCTGGAGAGAAGGTGAATTAGCACCTGTCAACAATTCCCCACGGTGTACTAACTGGCCAAGAAGAGAAGTGAGGGCTACAGCTTCTGGCTTAATCATGGTGATAATAACAAACAGCCATACATCTATTATGTATTAAGTGTTTATTTCATTATCGCACTAAATATTCATCACAGTTTATGATTCAGGTTCTCTTATTATTCCAATTTACAAATACAGCTTGAATAGATGAAGATATTAGTCTCCAAAGTCACAAAAATCCAGACCAAAAACCTACCTCACTAGTGCGGAGTCAATTCTAAGTGACAGCAACCCTAGAGGATACAGAGCAGATCTGCCCCACAGAGGCAGGCCACCGACCTAGGGATAATCTTTTTCTTTCACAGGGCGGCTAGCTAACGGTTCCAAACTGCTAACCTTATGCTATCTGCTAAGCACTGTATCAGGGCTCATAAAGTAGTAAAGTCACTAAATAAACCCAGGTCTACCTGGCTCCAAAGCCAGTCCTCTTACCCATTATGTTTGATAGATTCGCTGAACTGAAAGTAGTGATAAGTAGCATGAAATGAGGAGAGGAAGTTATGGTCCTAGCAACCAACTAGATCACCTTTGAAGATCAACAATTGAGAATGACTCAATAAGGAATCCCTGATGTGCACTGTTGCATCCATCAGGTGAAATCATCCAATGGACAGAAAAGGAAGATGAGAACTGAAGCATAGCTAATCGTTAAGCAGCATTAAATCATATGGGGTCGCCGTGAGTCAGAATCAATTTGACAGCAACTAACAACAACAACAACAACAACACTAAGTTACAAACCAAAAAACAGAAAAAGTAGCAAAATACAAAGTAACTAAAGTGGAGTCCCCTTAATCATCTGATGATGTCAGATGAAATAACTCTAAGAAATTTAGTGTGGGTTTGGTGGGTTTTTATTCTCTTTGAATAATAATAATAATGCTCTTGAAATTTTTATTCTTAAGGAAGTAAATACTGTTCAGCACTATTTATTCTGAGTCCCAAATTCTTCAGCACTATTTACTCTTTGAATACTTACTCTATCAACAATCTAAATACACTGTTTTAAATTTTTTCTAAAAAAATTATTTACTTTTATAATTTTAGTGCATTTTTTATAAAATTTTTTAAAAATATTCTAAATTTTCAAGCAACTTGAAACTGTAATTAATTTTTTTTCTGTCAAAATGTACTCCAAAATTTTACAATGGCTTGAGGGAGCCTACTCACATTTCCAGAAACACATTTGATAAACCATCAACAGTAAATATTAAAAATAAATACACTTCCTTTCTTCATTCTATTTAGTTTTCCACACTAAGGCAAAAACAACAGAGAATTTGAAAATCTGTTGTCAGGTTTACGGCATTGAAACAATTCTCTTTTAGAGATAACTTCTTAAA